TATATATATTCACTTGTTTCAGTGCTACTAAATGCAAACAAGCCCTAAAAGTGCAGCACCAGAAGCCAATATGCATGTTAGTGATGGTAATCGAGATAGATTCTTATATGTATTGGATCGAAGGTTACATAGAATAAAAAATTGGGAGTTTCGAAACACCTTAAATATGTATAATAGTGCAATTGAATAAACATCCAAATGAAGAAGAACGAAGACAAAGAAAACATCTTCAACATGTTTTCGCCGATGAGTTGAATCTCAATTCAATGAAACGATATCTTAACATGGAGAGATTTATTGAAAAACGCCCTCAAACTTCCGGATCCCTTTGGAGATGCCTTGTTGTTGTCGTCCGTGATCGCCATCTCGATTTGGGGCTTCTTGCACAAGATGAAATCTCGAATTCCAGCCGATCCAATTTTCTCACATGGAAGCAAAGCTGTAATAAACACAAATTCAAATTAATAATCATTTATAGTCATTAATATAATTCTTGATCAAATCAAATTGATGCATTGTATCAAATCAATTAAATCCTAAAAACAAGTTTTGCCCTAATTAAACCCTTTATCAAAAAACAAACAAAAAAAATCAAAATCAAGAACATGTATCATAATCATAAAAGAGAACACCACAAATATTACAAGAAAAGAAAAAACAAAAAAAAAAAAAAAGACCTTGAGTTCCGGCAAATGGGCTGTAGAGCATAAAGGCGTTGAGATCGGATCCAAGAACGGGGAGTCTGCCTTGACGCGCGTACGATTTCATAGCGGTGTCCATAACTGCACCAACAAGGTCATCCTCGTTCACCACGAACCGAATGGGGCCCGCGCTTCCGAGCACCGTAATGCTAATCAAAAACCGTTTGCCTTTCGATGGCAAATTCTTCTTCTGTTTGTGAATAAACATCTTTTTTTTTCTTCTTGATTTTCTTTTCGAATTTTATTCGGAGATAAAAATAAAAAAAGTGGATCAAGAAACCGTAAGAGGAATGAATAAGATACGACGATGAAATTCAAGGGTCGAGGCCGAGGCAGCGGTAGTACCAGCCCTCCATGCACGTTCCGAAGCAGAAAACGAAAACGCCACGAATCGAAATCCCTCTTCTTAAAGAAGAAGGGACGATCATAAATTGTTGGCTCGAGATTTCCACCATCAACAATGGAAAATGTTGATGTGATTATGGATTATAACAGCAATTAAGAGAGAAAAAGAAAAAGAAAAAGAACAAAGGTGGGATTTGGAGAGATTATTACGATGGAAAACAAAAGGGTTGTGAACTTGTGACAAATGAGAATGGGGCAAATATGAATTTATAGACATTTACAAGTATTTTTGTTTCATTCACATTGCAAAATTAGGGTTATAATTTGCGTAAACAAGTACGATATATCGTTGTTGAGCGAAGGAAGGAGAAAAGGTCAAGAAAACTACTTTTTGGCACCGCGTTGCCACAAATCCTGGTTTTAGCATTTTAGGAGTGATGATTGTAATTTGTTGTTTATAATAAATTTTTTTTACCCTTTTCCATTTATATTTTGAAGGAAGGGATTAAATAATTAAAGATATCCTCAATCTTAACCAAATACATGTTTGATTTTTTAACCTTTTCTTTTTGGGCTAATTGACAAAAATCCCTAAATAAAGTTATCTATTGTGATTAATTAAATTTTTAATTTGAAATTTAACATAAATCCATTCAACTCCAACTATCCGAAATGTTCCTATTTATTATTACTAGAAGTTACTATATTATA